TCTGATATTGGTTATAGATTTAGATAGAAACTTTTGCTAGATTTGAGTTGTGTATGAAAAATTATATAGTAGGGTTTATGTATCAATCGTTGAAAAGTGAAATATTACATTGTGATTATCTGCCAATTACGGACTGCGTTCGTCAAATTTGATGCCTATGAATTAGTTCTGGTTGAGATTTTTGTGATTAAGATGAACTTGTGAATGGTAGCTGAAGTCAAGAGTTTGGTTGCCAGTACAAAAACAGAGGATGTCTTGCATTTTCTGAATTTGAAGTCAAGTCTGACCAACTCCGTGTTGAACTGTAGTAGTTGAACAAAATGTGGAAAATCATTTTCCTTGAATTTCGTAATTTATTTTTTAAACTTATATGGATCTTGTACCGTGATGTACGATGATGACTATTTGATTAGACTATTTGACTCAAATGGTGTTGCTAATGGCTCTGTCCTTAATTCCACATTTTTAGTGTCATGTTCTCTGAAGAAAATTGAAATTTCAGCCAATAAATTTACTATTAACTCAAAAATGTGGTTATTAGGAAGTAATAGGTTCAAATTCGTACATACAAATCAAATTTGTAAATTTTGTTTAAATGAGAAAGTCCTTGTCTACATGGAATTATTCATCTTAATTCATTATAAAGCCAATACAAGAAGCAATAGCACGAATTGTCCCTCATCGGTCTCTAACTCATAAATTTGTATTCGATGACATGATTCTCTACCGAACTGCTCGTGTTATTAGTTGAATTTAGAACTTTACCCTATCAAACAGTGGCATTCATAATGTGTTCTCTTTGCTCGTCTCAACAATATATGTTCAGATGTCAGAGCATTGTAACCAGGATTTGTCTTTATCGGGGAAAGTACCTTCCGGCGTGTTCAATGCAATGTTCGACTTCAAGGGCTGCTGGAAAAATGATGCATCAACCACAAAGATTCTTGCTTTTGATGGTTGGTTGATTGGTCTGTACACTGTTGAGCTGGAAAGATCACAAATAGCTCTGTCAGATAAAGTCAAGCAAGAAGTACCGCCTACATGGGATCCAACTGCTTTGGCTGAGTAAGATCTGCACTCGTAAACCTTATTCATAGAGCCAGTCTTTGGAGGGTGACTCTCGATAATTGTGTTCTTGTCGCTGTTTGTCTGATGAAATGAAAATTTATCAGGTTTATAGAAAAATATGGCACTCATGTCATTGTTGGGGTTAAGATGGGTGGCAAAGATGTAATACATATTAAGCAGCTTCGGACATCAAATCTCCTGCCAGCTGAAGTGCAGAAACTGTTGAAGCAGTTAGCTGATGAGAAATTTTCTGAAGATGATAATCTAAATTTGGTTGCAAACTCTGATAAATCATCAAAGGTGAAGGTAGCTTTGAGTATTATGTATTAGTTCATTTAAAACCGGACATATTTCCATATAAACTAAGGACACAAGGTTTTTATCATCTGACATGTGAATGAACTGTTTTAGCTTACATCCTAAGTTGCAGCAATTATGTAACCGTTTTTTCTTTACACTGTAATTGAAGTATATGAATGTATCGATTAATACAAATTCTGGTGTGAGGCAGTCTAACTGTTAGGCGGGTCGACTGTCATACTCTAAACAAAAATGCATACATATACTATCGAAGCCATACTTGGTCAAACTTATGTTTATGAGCTTCTTTAAAGTATGGAATTTTCCAATGAAGTATTCATACTTGTAAAGAGTATGATGGCTTAGTGGTAGATCAGCATAACACAACACCTATCGATCAATTAATTATTTTGCTTGTAGATTGTTTGTGTAGTAGTTTTCTCTTTTCAAAATTTCGTCATACTTTTGAAAATGATAGATTGCTCATAAAAAATGTTAGCCTAAGCTTTTAAAGTACTAATGGTGCATTACTTTAACAATGAACATCAATTAGGAAGTAGAGATGTATATCCTCTTACTCATCTACAAATTCCTTTATTTAATTGTCATGATGGGGTTTAATTAAATTTGAACTATTTACAGGTTGAACAATCAATGGTGTGGGACCTTCAGCTACCATTAGCAAATACATTTAGACCTCCTGTTTTCTCTCACTCCAAAAATGACGTGAGTCTCGTTCTCGTATTACATTCTTAGTATGGACTTGACTTGATTGCACTTGTTCGGAGCTTAGATGTCAAAACGATTTTCTTTGTCCAGGATATATGGAGTATTCATATCAGAAGGGGTGGTTTAGACAGTGGCCAAAGCCATAAGCAGTGGCTTTCAACCGTATCGCAATATCCGAACGTGATATCAATGTCCTTTGTACCTATTGCGTCCCTTTTGAGCGGCATTCCAGGCAGCGGTTTCTTGAGCCATGCGATTAACCTATACCTCCGGTGTGAGTAAGAAATATAAAGATAGTTTTCATTATGATTTCTCATTAGCTCTGTGGTTTCACCTGATGACATTATCTTGGTGCAGATAAACCACCAATAGAGGAACTTGCCCAATTTCTAGAATACCAGTTGCCTCGGCATTGGTCCCCCGCATACAGTGACCTTCCTCTTTGTCATCACCGCAAGAAGAAATCCTCACCGTCTCTTCAGTTCACGTTGTTGGGTCCTAAGCTTTACGTTAATACTGTAAAGGTAAATGAATGACTTTTGCAAACTTGAATCCACTTGTCATATAAACATTTTGTTGGCATAATTCCATAGGGTGTGATTGGATATAAACTTGACCAGTAATAAACAAATCAAAACTCAAATTTAACTCAACTTCACTATCCTCAATATTATTAATGTAATTAAATAATTTCAACCATTAATTCTTACACATGACATCAATTAAAATTCACTACTATTCACTATTCATCCACTCGCATAATTTTAACTAACCATCACTCCCAATCATTTTTTTCCTACTTTACATCAAATCAACTTTAATTATTTTATTTTAAATATTATTTTAATTTAAACTTAAATTCTTACTAACAACTAACCATACCACATTTTTCAGAATTAACTATGGTTAAGAAAAAATCAATCAAAAACCAATCAAATTCATATCCAATTACACCCAATAGTCATTCCAAACTACTAGGATTTCCTTTTTCCTTTTTTTGCAACTCGTATATAAACCCTTTGGAGAAATCGTCCTTTCGTTTCGCACAAAAACACAAAATTGATTGGATC